TGACTAATACTGTCGTTGTATGCAACACAGGTTGGTGTACAAGCAAAAGTAATGACAATAATTACTTTTTGCTTCTGTATTATACTTTTTTGTGGTCTGTGTCTCTTCTCAGGATATGAACATGATTTCTTCTCCCAAACACTCACTAAAACTATTGGCATTGAGGAGACCAGAATTAGCTCCACTCTTGACTGTGGTTAGTTGCCAGTATTATGCTGTAAAATTTTAACTAGAAGGGATTCACCAGCATTGGACAAAATTGTTTGCCGTATTAAGCATTCTCTCAACTCTCACAGACAACAAAGGGAGCCCAATGTGCAGATGTAGCGATAGACTCTTGTGTTTCTGCGCGCACACATGTGCATACTGCAGCTGATGAGAGCGTTGCCTGAATACAGATCATTCGGCTCAAACGATCCTTGTGGGACAATTTTTATATAAATTCTAAGATCCTTTTGGGGCGATTTGTCACAAAAGCATTCCTTAGTATGAGGAATTTCATCTCCTTACACTTCTCTAAAGGACTGAGACCAGCTGTATGCATTTCCTCCAAATTTCTCTGTGAAGTTTTTAATCTTTAAGATCATTTAAAAGTCTTCTCAAACTGAGACTCTGCCTTTAAGGGCCAGTTAATGTGGCTGATTTATAAACCCTTTTGACAAGGGGATGCAGTGCAGTGAAAAAACAAAGCCTTCAAAACATGCCATAGGTTCTCTGCCAGCCGGCACTGATGCTGCATACGGCTCAAGACAGCCAAGGCAAAATGTGCCTTAGGAAGCCTGAACTCAAGCATCAGAGTAAGTTGAAATAATTACAGATTATTATTATTATTATTATTATTATTATTATTATTTGTCCAACTTTGGACTCCAGCTTTTCCAGCTCCCCTGCCATAAGATGGTGCAGTCGTGGCTCCAGCCGGGGGACCAAAGCCAAGGACAGGCTGTTGCCTGGATGCTGGTGCAGAGCGTGGTTGCTCTGGCATCACTGGCTCTGGGGATCCTGCTTCATGCCCTCAGCATCACCTGAGCTAGAGAAGGGAATACACAGGCTCACTTGCACATCTTCCCTCTCCCGCTCGTACCTGGGCTGCTAAAATTATAAAGGGCTTTGCTGTAGACCCTCATCCTTTGCATAACAAGAATATGTCTAAGTTTGGGTGGGGGCATTCTGTTTTTGCAGCCTTCCATCCTTAGAGGAGAAAGCTAAAAGTCAACCATTTACGAAGAATGAAGGGCCAAATTCTGCTGTCACTTACACAGGGCCAAACCCACAGATGTCTGAAGCATGGGAATTGCTAGAACCCACAACACAGGTTGTTATAGGAGTCAGTGGGTCTCTGCTGAGGTATCTCAGCAGAGTTGAGTGCCCTGTAAATGCTGTGCCTTGCTTGTACTAACCTTTGTTTGGTCTGTCTCTCTCATCTGGCAACTCCCCTCCTCCCCGATCCCTTTGCGCTCCGATACAGATGGCTATAAGGAACGACTCTTTGGATAGCAAGGAGAATCTCCACACCGAGGTGAGTGAACTCTCTGACCCAAATGTCCCCGCTGTGCCCAAGGAGGAGACTTCAGTGGCTCTGACGCCCTCAGAAGCGCAAGAGTTGGCTGCATGGAGCCGGGCAAGCGTTCGTACGCAGCAGCTTTCCCACAATCAGTATAATATTTCAAAGCAGGCACCAGCATCATGTGCTTGTGCAGACTCCTATCAGGAGACACCTGGAGATTCAGTGGACCAAGAAGTATCTGAAATAAACAGCTCCTCGGAGCCTTTCACTTCAGAAACTTGTACAGCCTCGAGTGCCTGTTCAGAGGTTCAGCCTCTCACTCCTAAGAGGAACATAGGCAATACTGGCAACGTTACATTGAAGGACCTGAAGAAATACCACAGTGTAGACACCCAGGGTCTTCTAAAAAAACCGCCCTCTTGGTTAGATGATCAAAGGAGACATTCAATAGAAATTTGTTCAATGGAAAACAGTCCTCAGCACCATTCCACATCTAGCTCTTCTGGCTTCATAAGTCAGGTGGTAAGTGAAATGGAAGGCTTGCAAGGAACACGGCAGAAGAAAAAGCTGAGCCCTCCATGTATATCTATAGATCCACCTGATGGACAGAGTTTACTACCTAGAGGACCTCACAGCATCTCACCTGCCAGTGGAGACATTTGCTTGCGACGGCGTGCTCCATCTTGTGAGTCCAAGGATTCGATGGATATAGGGGACTCGTTGCTTCCAGACAGTATGTCAACATCTCCTACCCCAAAGAAAGACTTGTTGACACTTCCTAGCTTTTCCTTTGATCAAACGGAAATGGACCCCTGAGTTACTTTTCTGTTGGTGCCAAATGTTTTCTTCCTTTCATGTAATAGGAAAAAAAAAATAATTAAAAAACTCTGTATTCCAAAACGGCACTGGGTAAAAAATTTCCAAAGAAAGATTAAAGAACCAGCTGGTTAAAAGAGTGGTTAACCTATATCACGCTTACTTAAGCATATGTTCTGCTTAGGTAAAAGCAATACAATGTGCAGAATCTATATGTATATTATATTTTATTAAATTAATTGAATCTAGTATTGCGGGATGTAGTACATTTTGTGACTAAAGACTCGTTTAATTTTCTTCTATTTTATGTATCTCAGAATATTTCTGAGATAAAGTTGGTTTTTATGAATATTTTAACCTAAAAAATATATATTTAATCCCTTCTCTTTTTTTTGTTTTGTTTTGTTTGGGTTTCATTTTGTTTTGCAAAGCACAAAATGTAGCCAATTAGTGCATTACAGAGGAAATGTATCCCACAGTCAGCAGTAAATAAGGATTATTTAATGTAATTTATTTTTCCCCTTGGACTTCAATGATATTCTGGGAAAAAGATTGTTTGGGTAGTATGGAAATGCAGTGGCAGTTTTTTAACAAAATAATATTCCAATCTTGCATAAAATCGACATCCAGAGTAAAAGCAGGTGCACAAACCCAGGAAGGTACAACATGCTGATAGATGTCTGAAGATGGTGAACGTAGAGCTATTTAACTGTACACAATACTGAATTACGAAAGGATATTATAGATCATCCACTGGTGACTCACAAAATCATGTCAGTGGATAATTTTCATACGTGCCTAGGAAACTGAGGCAAGAAAAGCCTGTGGTCACTTCTGAGATGTTTTTCCAGTGTCTTCGAGACGGACTGTTTCTTTTGCCGAGTTTTACACCTCTGTAAGCCCACTGTCGGCAGTGGAGCTCCTCCTTTCTGCACCGTGCAAAAAGGAGAGCAAGGCCGAGTTTAAGATTTGCAGTGGGTGAATTCAGTGCAGTCATGACACAGCAGTGGGCTTAAGCACATGTTTAAAGTTAAGCCTTTGCTTAAACTGCCTTGAGGTTGATCGTATTTAAGTAATTCTTGATAATTAAAATCATATGCTTATGTGTTTGACAGAATCAAGGCCTCTGCAAGTTATTTTACAGAATACATGTAAGAAAGTCTGTAGGTACTGAAATGACTGTTGATTTTAAGTTTAGAAAGTCAGTTTTTTTGCTGTCACTGCTAGAGTTAATTTACATGACCCTGACTGTAATTTTATTTCCAATCTATCAAAAGCCTTAAGCAGCAACATCGTGATAAAAAGTAGATAAAAATGGAATTCATGTCCTTACTTTATAACATGTCCTTAATGTCAGTCATCTCAGAAATTAACTGTTTGCTTCTGTGCTAACGCCCTCTGCAAAAAGCAATCTGTAAAACTGGACAGCACAGCCTGAAAATCAAGGGAGGTTGGCCTGGTTCGACACCTCCCACTCTTCACACAACTGGTGGAAACCAGGCATTAACTTCACTCAACTGCCATGAAATCACATTGAGATGTAGGCTAAATAAGACTCTGCAGGCATGGTTTGAAGCGTGGGAATAGTCACAGGTTTAAAACTGCGTACATGGATAAGGCTTTGCTGGATCATGTCTTTAAACCAGCGCAAGTAAGAGGAGGATTTGTGCTAATTCTGTCAAGTCGGGAGTTTGTAACTTTTTGAGAACTACTGATCTTTTCAAATCACTACAACATGTTGATGTACAGCCTTTTATCCATTCAGAGATTAGACTGTTACGACTACATGTATCTGCATTAGCTTCAAGTATACGTACAAGAAGATGCTGTTCATACCTAACAGCCCATGTGAGGTCTTAAGCTCCTTTATTTTCACTTGAGGACGTTTACTCTATAAACAATCCCTATTGATTTACATGTCCTGTAGAAATATAAAGGCTTTCAGTGGGAAGTCAGCCAATCAGTGTATTTGAAGTAGGAGGATTAACATTCTGTACTATTTACTGCAGTTAGATTAATTCTTGCCTGGGACGTTTTTCCCCTCTTCAACATGGGCCCATACGGAGAGCGCTCTCTTTGATATGCCAGTCCAAATCCAGAGTTAAGCCCGTTTAAAGCAATGATTTCAAACAAACCTTTCATCAGTTCTTCCCCCCGATCATATTTAAGGAAATAATAAAACTGCAGTGTATTAAGCCTGAGAAATATTCTTAATCCCTTTTTGGTTTTACACTCGTAATGAGCCTTAGCTTTGCCTTTCACATGTACTAAATAATTTGGGAAAATAGCTAGGCCACCAAAATTGCCAACCCTGGTTCCTTAATGATTAGGAGTGTGTTTGTATAGCTGGAATGATACTACTCATGCAGTTCCTTCCTTACAAAAAAACCATGCAACATTTTAGCTTGAAATCATGGCACAAAACGGTGATGTGACGGTAATCCAATGCTCAACCCCAAATGTAACAGAACGCCTAACGGCTCTTCTATTTCCAATACTTGGGGTTTTGCCCACTGACAAGGTTTGTGGAAGTAACAAAAAGTTTACATCATACGTGACTATTCAGTGAAGACTAGCAAATAAAAAAATACTCTATGATGATGCATTCAGGAAAAGAAATCCATGTAAAATAGTTTGTTTTCTAAACCGGATAAGTTTTTTCTAGATGCCCTTTTGAAAAACAAATAGAAATGTACTGCAGTGTGTGCAATAATCTTAAGATAATTTTAAATACCGTTTGGGGGGGTTTTATAGAATTTGACTTTTTTTAAACAAAATGTACAAAATCCACAGGAATTCTGTAGAATGGTTATGTTGATAGAATTTTTTATATTTTTGTAGAAATCTATAGAGAAATTGTTAAAAGTCTGCGTAGCATCTTGGGAACAGAAGCAGCTCTTATCTACAAGTTTCTTTTCATAAACCTGGAGCCAGACCTACTGTATTACAACATGTAGAGCCTAGTTTCAGAGCCTGCATCCAGGTCGCGTTTAGAAGTAAGCAGCTAAGCTCAAGTTCTACGATATTGCAGTGCTATTACTGTTCGAGAACTGTACCCGTATAAAACATCTACCCCCAAAACTCAGCCCCTATCGATGGTAAAATAGTCGCATGGCTATCCAGTTCATTCAAGCACACCAGCACTTTACTACTGTGGAGTTACTGTATACAGGTGGGAGGAGGGTATTCTGCTATTGCCAGTCTGACACATGGGGAAAGATTGCAGACATGTCTGGAAAAATGTCAATTCCATTCTTGCAGCCCCTCGCACATAGAACTGATTTTTCATAGCTCGGTTACAGGCCGTTTATACTGTAGATATTTTGGAGGCGGGCAACGAAAACACTGTTTTTGACTTCTGTGGATTGCACTCAGCACAAGGTGTGTTCAAGGTGAAAAAAAAAAGGAAAAAAAGAAAACAAAAGTGTTACCATTGTAAATTAGGCTATGCCCCAGTCTCCCCTTTTCTGCCCCTTTGGCTATAATAACCCATGTACACTATTACACAAGGTGACTAGAATAGGCACAGTACCATTGCAATGTCTGTAACAACCTAGTATATATTATAGAACTTTGTATTTAATAGTTAATATATTGTTATACTGTATCAGGTATATAGGCCAAAACGAGGTCTTTTGGTCAGGGCAACAAAAGGTGGTAGTGATGGGGAAAATTGGGTTAAAATGTTCCTTTTTAAAAAAAGAAAAAAAGACAAAAAATGAGTGTAAATCTTTACAAATGACAAAAACAAATGTGTCCTATTAAAAGCTTTTGAAAAGAAAACAACTGTGCACTTCCCTTTTTTGTTGTTGCTGCTGACAATCCGTATCATTCAGAGCGGTCAAATCTTTGGTCATGTTTTAATTGCGAACAGTTGGAGTAGGTATTGTATAGCAGCAGCAGACGGGAGGTTGAAAGAAAGATTGCGACACGTCGGCCCTTTGTGAAGCAATTTGGTTTGACACCACAAGCGCATCTGCCCCGGCGCACCGCCCAGGGTGTGCTGCTCTACCAAGGAGACCATCAGTTGTGCTTCTGCAATTGCACTGTGCTGGCGAAGGACAGCTTGGCGAGTTGCTCAACGATGCAAAGGCTGCGGGGACTGCAATGGGGAGAGCTGCAGGCAAAGGGGAGAAAGGAGTCAGGGGAAGGGGCAGATTTGATCCGTCCATGAAAACACGTTGCTGTGAAGAGGAAGATGCTGTGCTTTTCCACGCATTCACAGCCTTAGGATTTCCAGCCTGAAGTAGCCTCTTCTCCATCACTTCTGCAGTCATTTAGCTCTTCGCAAAGCAGGAGCTGGCGGGGATAGCACCACCCTGGGAGCTGTGGACTGCGTGTTGCAGGGCAGCGGAGGCTCAGACTCCAGATGCTGCTTAGGTACCACCAGAAACATTTGAACCTAAACTCTTCAGGGCTCTTTAGTGGATGAGTTAGCTCCTAATGCAAAGTCTCCTCTCCTCAGGGGAGCAGCTGCCAGAGGGAGGAACCAGGCACTTAGGCACTCTGCAGCCCTATTTCTCGCTTTGGCTTGAATGACTTGATGATCACTCTGCAGCAGGAGGGACCCTAAACTGACATCCAGAGTGGTTATGTTCCCTAGAGGGTGTTTTGATAAAGGCCCTCTCATATTCATCTCTGAGTAGGAAACAGCAGGAAGTTAGCCCTTAAACAGAGAGAAAATGTGGATCTGTGCAAAATCCCATGCAAATCCACGCAGAGCAGGACTCCAGAGGTGAGCTCTGTAATGCATCTGTGTTGTCCAGGCTGCGGGGCCAACCCCACCAGGCTGGAACCACTGAAGTGCCTTCCCACCCCTCCAAGGCTGGAGGATCCGCGTGGCATTAAGGTAAGCTGGGCTGGGCCAAGAAAGCTGAGCAGTTCACAGGTTCAAGGACTTCACACCTCTCTGCACACAGGTGAGTTTAGCCCTGTGCTAATTCGTATGGGGGATGGCAAATCCTTCTATTTCCCATGCTGGGTTTCAGAGGGACTTGGAA